CTCCCTGTTCAGCAGGGAGTCTGCTTCTCCCTCTGACCCTCCCCCCTCTCATGCTCTATCTCATTCTCTCTCTCAAATAAATAAAATCTTAAAAAAAAAAAGGGGAGGGCATGTTTAAGGGAAACATCAAAGAATAAGGAAACTCTCAAGGACCAATAGCGACATGAAGCCGTTACCCCCATCAGGGCAGAAGGGAATCTGGGAAGAACGAGTGCTCAGTTGTCTCTAAGGCACATCTGTCCCTCCCATCTCAGATCTGTGTCTCCTGTGGACCTAGCCAAGGGCCTGGCTCAGTAGGTGTTAGCTCCTCAAGTTTGCCATCTCCAGGGGCACTGAAGAAGGGAACAAACAAAGGTTTAATGAAATGTGACTAGCCTGAAGGATCAGTCCATTAACTCACTTAAGGCAGAATGGGCTTCGTACCCTTACCTCTGTTCTAAATATTAAGGCTTTCCTTTCTGCAAAGTTTTATTTACCCACAATTTAGGATTTTCACAGGAATCCAGATTTGTGCTGATACTCCTGTATACTCCTGATACTCACACACTTGTGACCATCTGCAAATTTTGGTCAATCGTTGGGCCAGGACTAATGTCTCAAGTTTGGGATCATTAATGGACGTAGAACACTTTTGAAATTTAAGAAATTAAAAATCATTTTGAATTAACAGTCATGTTAGCAAGTAAGTCTCCAGCCCACTAAGAATGTATATACGATTTGCTAGTAAATGAAGAAATCTTATCCACCAGTTCAGCTTAGATGGTCCTATAGCATCCATAGACACAGAAAGCCTTGTATTTGTTGTACTATGGGCCTTGAAAACATGGTATTTGGTGGGAAGGGAAACCAAGTATACACTTAAAACAAGTCTAACTGGCCTGAATCCTCAAAAAAGGAAACCCTGAAGTACAAAGCTAGGGGAGGGGAGTCAGGAATGTGAGCTTCCTAAAATGTAAAGATAAAACCCCTGATAGACCAAAACCAGAAATCCTGGATAAAAATATTTTTTAAGTGCATAGTGGAACTCGAAAGCAAGAAAGGGAACTCTGTAGATACTAGAAGCAAAGAGGCTACTCAAATCCAGAACTTTTTTTTTTTTAAGATTTCATTCATTTATTTGACAGAGAAGAGCGACAGCGACAGAGGGAACACAAGCAAGGGGAGTGGGAGAGGGAGAAGCAGGCTTCCCGCCAAGCAGAGAGCCTGATGTGGGGCTCGATCCCAGGACCCTGGGATCATGACCTGAGCTGAAGGCAGATGCTTAATGACTGAGCCACCCAGGTGCCCCTCAAATCCAGAATTTAAAAGACAACCAGACACCAAAACTGAAGAAGCCCTAATGAAAAATTGGATACAGATGTCATGACAGAGACTGGGGTTGAATAGATGAGGAACAAGGTCTCTAGCCCATACCTGGGGGTACCTAAATTCCCCACTTAAAGCTCAGAATTTATAAAGACTCTTCAGGAGATGGGACTAGGACAATCCTAGCCACCACCTAGGAGACAAGAACAAGGAAGCAGTCTATCCATCCTTAGAGATCAGAACCCCAAATGAGCCCAACATTTTAGAGTCTGAATCCACACTACCATTACTATCAGGAATCCTGAGCCAAGAAAGCAAGGTCTACAAAATGATACAAGAACTGGTTGATCCTTGCAGAGAAAAAATTGTTTTTATAGTTAGCGGGTAACCCTTGGTATATAGGATTCCTACAGAAACAGTTACCAACAAAGATAAGCTCACCCTTAAATATAAAAATTAAGACAGAATGAGAAAATTTATTTCTAGTAGGAGTCCCAGAAAAGACTAGAAAGTATGAAGGTGAAGCAGTCTTCAGAGTGTTTATGGCAAAGTATTTTGAAGATTAAAGTGATTTTAGGACTCAGATTAAAGGAGTACAGAGTCCCAAGCAGAATAAATAAAAACAAATTAAGTCCAATACATCAAAGTGAAATAGGACAACAAAGACTACAAAGAAAAAAATCTCTAAAATTACTGGAGAAAAAAAATTGGCTATAAATGACAGACTGACATCAGTAGCAATACATGCCTTAGTGCAAAGCACAAAGGGAAAACATTAAACTTGATCATCTCACCAAATCACTGTTTAAGCATGAAAGCAAAATAACCCCAGGTTATAAAAACTGAGTTTTCTAAAAAGAGCTGTCAAAGGAGTTATTTCAATAAGAAACAAACCTGAAGGCTGGGATAAAGCAATAATGAGTGAAGTTGGCAAAACATTTTGGTAAATCTAAGTATGTATTTGACTTGTAAAAATTACATAATGTTGTAACCAATTTGGAGGGTTATTAGCCATGGTAAAAATAAGGTGGAACAAAGAATACTAGCCAAAAATATGAAAGATGGTTAGGGCAAGAATGGGGGGGGGGGCAGATACTGAAAGAGGAATTTAAAAATTCCAAAATAGGGATAAAAAATCCGGAATGGAGAAAAGACCTGGTTATCCTTTCAAGATTAAGCCTAAAGCCCCAAGCAACCTCCTCTGCCTTTTAATTTAATGGTGCACCTTACATTTTTTTCTAGAGATCTCTAAATGGGACAGAAACAGCTTTCTCTCTGGAAGACCTATTTCAGATGCTTTCATCACAGCCTGAAAATTCACTGGAGGTAATTGGAACCTTGGTTTTTATCTTTGTAGGAAAATGTGCACTGATCGTGAATATGTTTAACCTCTTTAATGGGATGACACAGTTTATGACATAGAGTAATAGTTCTGTAACAGTACTGCATTATATAAGTGCACAGATTTAGGATTACTTTTTATAGAACTACTTTCAATTTTAGAGAATTAACCAAATATGTATACTGTTCCTCCTACTAAATGATCACAAGGATATAGTTAAATTTAGGATTCACTGAATCAAAACGACAGTAAATAAGGGCGCCTGGGTGGCTCAGTCGGCTAAGCCTCTGCCTTTGGCTCTGGTCACGATCCCAAGATCCTGGAATCGAGCCCTGCATCAGGCTCCCTGAGCCTGCTTCTGCCTCTCCTGTCCCTCCTCCCCTGCTCGTGCTGTTGATAAATGAAAAACAAAACAACAGTAAACATGACAAACTAAGGCATAATTATTTTTCTGGTAGCATTTATATCTTGACCATACGCTTACTATGCTGGTCTGATTTACTTTAAAAAACAAAAAAAAACCCCCGAAAACCAGAATACCCACCCACCTTGCCCAGACACTTCAATGTGGACTTAAAGCTTAACAGCTAGGTTGATTGTTTGCATCTATAAAGCAGCAAGTTACAGTAATATTAGAATTAATAGCAAGACCAACTTTTACATTAACTGAATCAAACTTTCTGAATTTCCAGTATATACAAAAAAATCTTTCCCCAAATATGCCATCATTCAGATTTGGGCTCACATTGCATATTGTATTTGTCTAGGTTTAGTAAGTGATTCATAGGTAACCATATAGAGGAACTGACGAGAGGAAAAAGTGCTCTATTGTTACTGAACTGCTACTGAAATAAGGTTGTGTATTTAAAATGCTCTTTTTCCCTTCTCAGGGCATCTCCCTTGGAAATATTTTTCCAGGAAGTATCAGTGATGGCATGAATTCTTCAACACATAATGTAAACTTTAGCCAAGCTGTAAGTCACGATGTGAATCTCCATGAGGCCATGTTGCTGTGTCCTGACAATACATTTAGAGGAGAACCAGGAGCAAGGACTTCACAACCACAAGAACCATTTCTGCAGTTAAATTCTCCCACTGCCAATCCTGAACAGACCCTTCCTGGAACTAATCTGACAGGATTTCTTCCCCTTGTTGGCAATCAGATGAGGAATCTAACAAGTCAAGATCTTCTATGTGACCTCGATATAAACATATTTGATGAGATAAATTTAATGTCTTTGGCCACAGAAGGTTTTGATCCAATGGAAGTGTCTCAGCTTTTTGAAGAACCAGATTCAGATTCTGGGCTTTCCCTAAATTCAAGCCACAATAGTACCTCTGTCACCAAGTCTAATTCCTCTCGGTCTGTGTGTGAAGGTGCTACAGGTTGTAGTAGTGACCTTGAACCTCTTTCCCACCGTGACTTGGAAGGAGCTGTAGGAGGGTACTACCCAGAGCCCAGTAAGCTTTGTCACATGGACCATAGGAGTGATACTGGTTTTCTTGGGGACGTTGCATTTCAACACATTTATCATAACCACACTTACCACCTACAGCCAAGTGCTCTAGATTCCACTTCTAGATCTTTTTCATGGCATGGGAAGTCACAGAAAATAAGTGAGTACCTCAATGACACAGACAGAAACTTAAGCCGTGATGAGCGGCGTGCTAAGGCTCTGCATATCCCTTTTTCCATAGATGAAATTGTCCGTATGCCCGTTGATTCTTTCAACAACATGCTAAGCAGGCACTACCTGACAGATTTACAAGTGTCACTCATCCGTGATATCAGAAGAAGAGGGAAAAATAAAGTTGCTGCTCAGAACTGTCGGAAACGCAAACTGGACATAATTCTGAATCTTGAAGACGATTTATGTAACTTGCAAGCCAAGAAAGAAATCCTTAAGAGAGAAAGAGCCCAGTATAACAAAGCTATTAACACAATGAGACAAAAACTGCATGACCTTTATCATGATATTTTTAGTAGGTTAAGAGATGATGATGGTAGGCCAGTCAATCCAAACCAGTATGTTCTACAGTGCAGCCAAGATGGAAGTGTTTTGATTGTACCTAAGGAACTGGTGAGCTCAGGCCACAAAAAGGAAAACCGGAAGGGAAAAAGAAAGTGAGGAAACTGAAGACAGATTCCATTAAGATGTATAAGGTATCAAACGGATACATGGCCACAAACCATTGAAACTGCTTCAGAAGTTTGGCTCCAGTATCTTTTTACTACTGCTACTTCAATCACTCAGGGCTACGTTTTGAAGCTTTTGGACAAATTTGTGGTTAGTTTTGGGGAAGCCACAACTTTTCATGAAGCCGACTGCATTATATGCAGGACTCCTGACAGGACAGTCCAGTCACTTGGTAACCATCCCCATCCCCACCCCCCGCCCCCAGTAAGAGCAAACACTGGATGTAAATTTTAAGCATTTTGGTTTTTGTGACTTGAAATGCAACATAATGTAGCTTTTAGCTTTAAGTATTTTAGCACTGAATATATGGAGTCTTATAAAAGCTATTTTATCTTTCAATGAATACTTAAATTACAACTTTCTGTGCAAATTCTATATTTGAATTTATAAAAATTTCTTATATAGAAATTCTAACCGTATTCATCTTGGATATTTTTCTCCACAAAACCCACATTCAGCTATACAGGTGATACATGTAGCCAACAGGGCAGCACAGTGTGGGTTTTAGTATTGCACAAAAATTGATCAGACTTAGGCCAAACAGTCACGCCTTCAACTTACCCAACTTCTAAACCAAGGTGCCAAGGAACAAAATTGGGGCTTCAAAACATTAGACATTGTCTAAGGACAAAGACCTTTACACAGGTTTATGCCTCTTGTAAGTAGACACAGCTACTTGCATATAGAGAAATAGAACTACCAAGTTCAGCCAGCCTGTAGAAATGTCTGCACATCTGTAACGTGGACCTCTCCCCCAAAAGGCCTCAACATAACTTAATGTGAAAACGTCACAAGCAACACAAGCCAACAGTAGGGGAAAGGGGAAGTCAGTAGAGTATGGGCTTTACAACCAAATAAAACCTGGAATAATTGGAACCACATGAAACACTCTTAAATGCTTAAAAAAAGGCAAAAACAGAGTAAGTGAATTTGAAAATGAACTAAATGAAAGCTCAATAAGCTTATTGCAACAGCAACCTGGATAACTTTCTGAAAATGTTCAAGGTTTGGCAACATTAAAATTAGTAGAGTCAACGTTGTCATAATGATCTACCAAAGGATATCACAGGCGTACCACCTTGGTTTAGAGAAATGCAGTGGTTTCAGAGTCTAGATTTTTAACGCCTTAAACTGAACCTAGGTACGTTATTTCAAGACCAGACTTTCAACAAAATGCTTTGACAGTTTTGTAGTGCCCAGAAATTACTTCAGATCCACAATTTAAACTTCCACAGTACTACCTACCTACAAGTAGCCTTATCCACCCAATTGTTAACACTTATGACGGTGCACTATCCTCAAATCCCTGAAAATATCAAGCACCACAACAGAACTATACACCAAAGGATCAAACATGGATAAATAGGGACCTAAGAACAGGGACTTAAAATTTTGACATTCACATTAACCAAAGCTTAAAATAGTTTGAATCTGGAAAGTATTTGGTGCATTGTGACCAAAAGTAAATGCACCAAACTTCCAAAGAAAAATCTGGCCTCAAAGCATGTAAACCTCAGCTGCTTACTCTCTCATACCAGTTTCGGCAGTGGAAATCCCACCGCCAAGATTTTAGGACACCCGAAGGATGACTGAAATGTTCTGCTAGCTAGTGGTCTTAAAATGTAATTTTTCCTGGAGTTCAGAAAGGTTACAGAAAAGGAAAATCTGATCTATTCAGCTTCAGATTGTAGAAACTGACCATGTTCAGAATCTCAAAGTTCTCACTGAAGCTGTATGCACTTTGCTTGGTAGAACTTGAACCAAACTGCTCACTGAGCTGTATAAGACATGGTTATGCAGTCAAGACTGTTGTTACTGAGCAGCTTTATCAAAACAAGGTTTCAAGGGAGGGGCATGTGTCCTCATACCCCCAGTGTGTTCCCAACTACTTGGTATAGGGTTTACAAATGTAAATTTCAAGGGAATCAGTAAGACTTAAGACCCCTGAGATCAGTAATGCTTACTCTTAGGCAACTAATTAACCCTTAGCTGCTTTTACATTTCCTGGTGGGTACCCCCCCTCCTGAATCTGCAGCGGAAAGGCCCAAATTTACATTCCAGTTTGAATTGGTCCCAACAGGAAACTGGTCTTACCTTCTTTACCTATGGAAAATAACTGTTAATCCTGCAGTCATTCATCCAATTATAAAGTTAAAGAAATCTGGTTGGTCAGCCAGATTCTCAGCATCTCATTTGTGCTTTTCCGAATAAAGCCTTCATATTTCACAAGTAACCATCAACAGGTATCCATGTTGAACCACCTTACAGGTGAAATTAGATTTTCAAGTGTGTAAGATCTCCATGCAACATGTACTAAATAATGTCTGGATATTTGGATCCCTCTAAAGGCTGGCTTCAGTTCAGCAAGGACCTTTGGAATATAGCAGTCAGAAAACCCAATTTGCACACATCCAAGCCCCAGAACACAATGTCAGCCTACATAATGCATGTATCAGAACTTAAAAACCTTTTTATAGTTGGGATCAGTCTTAATTTTTCCCCCTTCTATAATCTTCAAAGAAATGAATCTGCCCCTTTCTTGGGTAGTCTACTCACCTCACTAGTTTGCCCAGTCACCAAAAAACCTCTTACATCTATGTGATCGGCGCAGTAGTCAACAGTGGTGTGTTATTAAAACTGAATGGGGTCTATCAACCACCCAGTCATTCCAAAGCTCAAAAGATCAGATTTACTTAAAATTTTGCCAAGAATATATGTTTTTAGTATATTGGGATGTCTTCTTTTTGGAAAGGAACCCACACTTGTGAACTAGTAAATGTCATTACTGAGAGTATTCTTTTAAAGTTTCCTTAAATTAACTCAGTACTCTAAATACTTAGTACAAAGTTATCCCTTTTAGACCATCTTAGCTTGTATCCATACACCAGTTATTTAAAACCTTACACGCAATAGAACGAACCAGTTTCAGAAACTTCCAGTAAAGATTAACTCTAATGTGGAAGCCAGCCCTCAATATGGCTCCCAATGATGCTGGGTTCTCAGTAATCCTAGAAGTAAACCCCTTCCATCCACGATGTGACCATTATAATACAAAGTACTACTTCCAAATGTTGATTCTATTGGGTTTTGATTGCTCCAAAAGCTCGGTATAGGTAAAGGAAATAGCCAGCCCCAACTTGCCAACCCTGTCAGCATGCCCTAGTGAAGTTTTTCCTAACTGCAACCTGAGCTTCAGCAAAAATCACAGCTCTAAGTTTTCAAGTTGTTGACCTGCAAATACTATGTAAAGTAACAAATTCATTGTTGCTCCAAATTGCTAAGTATTGAGGTTAAAGGTTGAGCCTGATGTAGTGATATAATGCAGCAACATATGCGAAAAAATGTTATTTCCTTCGTTTAGAAAACTTAAAAACTACCTTAAATCTGAAGTTCTAATAGAAATTAACAGCCCAATATACGACACACAAGGGAAATGTCTATGGTTGATTATTCAACATTACCTTAGTTGCAATAAGCCAGTTCATTTCAGCCTATTGTGTACTGAATTTTCTTAAAATTTGTCCTGATTAAGGGTTGCGTACTTCAGGGTGTGTTGTCATACACCAACTTGATTTACCTCCTTTAAGTTCTTGGTAGAGCCGCATTTTTAAAACCTTCAAATATTTACCTTATTTTCAAGTACTCTTTAAGTTTACAGATGATGGACGCATCTGTATTTTAAGCAAGTAACAGCTTAGCTCATCTTCTGTTAACCATCAGTTTGACTTACCTGTGAGATACCTCATTATCAAAACAAAAAAGTTATTAAATCAACTTTACTGTGTATCATTCCTGTTATCTTTCATTGTTTCAGGTAAATATATACAAGAAAGCCACTGCTTGTTAAATTCTCTCCACCATATTTAAACCTTTAAAAAGACAACCACTGAAACTCAGTTAAAAGGCATATAAAGGTAATTGACATTTAAGAAGCTACCATGACAGACTCAGTGCTTTGCAGTCACTTAACTGGGACCACTGTTTAAAATACTTGCAACAACTCCACCAGCAATGTTAAACATACAAGGTAAAGCCAGAAAACTAGAGCAGTATTCAAACGCTGAATGTACAGTATATAAAGAATGGCATTTTATTAGGGACAGCCAATAATGTCCACAATGCTTTTCTTATTTGACTATCAATACTGAAAGAAAAATGGCAATATGCATAGCTTTGTGAAACTGCTTTAAAAATCTAGGGGATGGCAATCTTTTAGACAACTGAATGTTTATAGAACAAGATTCACACATTTTGTGTGTAAACATTACACCAAGTATTTGAATACAAAAGTGTTTATTTTATAAACTTTGTATTTAAAATAGAATTTTTATCTGTCTACTCACAAAACCTAGTTTAAAACATGATACATTTCTCTCTCTAGCTTACTTGATGTTACTCTTTTACAAACAATGCTCAATTTGTAATTGTTTTATATTAAGAACCTGTACTAAATGAAGTTTGTATTTTATCAGAAAACATTTCCCTTTAAACTTAAAGTGCTTTTTTTTTTTTAAATGAAGGCACCAACAAGAACTACTTTCAGATGGTACAGAATTTCTTATTTCTTGAAGACTCTGTGGTTGACCACTTCTTCATTAGTTACCTGCAGCAAGACACCTTCCTGCCAAAGGAAAAAAAAAGTATCTGAAGAAGTTTATCATGTTTGTCCAAAGAACCTAAATAACTTCAGTGGTGGTCTTAGGATCAAAGAAGACTCACTGGTGCATACAGTAGAATATGCCCTGATTATCACATTCCTGAAAAGGCAATAAAGCCAGGCAAATCAAACTGATGACATTTAAGAATTTCAGCAGCCAACCTACATCTCTCCTATAAGGTACGGGGTTGGGAAAGAATTACCACATTTAAACCCAAATATTTAGTACTGGATACATACAGGATTTATAATGTAGACACTTTATTTGTAAGTATAAACTATCATCTGGAAATAGTTTCAACCATTTTACCCTACCTTCTCCTGAACCTGATTCTGATAAGCATGTAAAACTAGAACAACCATATAACAGAAGAACAAAATGTCTTTATTTTTAATAAAAACCACTAGGTTCACTCAAAATGCTTGATCCAAGAAACGTGAATACACAAGGGTGTAATGATGGGTAATTTCATGATTTATTCAACTTGCAGCCTAACTTTTACCTACCATTTTACTACCAACACCACTGAAGGAACCAAGAAAAGCTTTATTAATGATCACTTGGCTTGCGCCTCAGCTGTTGAAATGAAGCACTTTACAGTCTTTGTGGCAGCAGAATATACTTGTCCATGGTTCATATCAATGCTAAAATTCCAGCAGGGAAAAAAATGATATGTTAAGCACCTGAATCTTCATAGAGGGGGAGGGGGGTGGGAAAGAAGGAAAAAAAGGGGGGAAAAAAAACAACCAAAATAATTTAAGTAAATGACAGATTGGAAAACAGGGTTTATAAGATTATTCTCTTGAGTTTATAAATTGTTAAACTCAAATTTATAGCTATGTTAAACTACGTAAGAACCACTATACTGAAAGGCCATTGAAGAGTAGTATTAGTTTATCTTTTGGGGAGGAAAATTAAGAAAGGAAAAGTAAATAAGATCTTACCTAAAGAAGTTTAACTGAAGCTTAGAACTATTTTGCTCTACACCCTCAGCTTTCGTTGTCATCCTTATAAACTACTGTAGTTAAAGCTTTGTAGAAACAGCACAGTTTTTTAAGACTGGCTGAACTTAGTAGCCGTCAAGAGTTCTCTTGTACTAGACCTGTATCCCTGAAGAGTACCTCGCTGGGGTTATTTCCTTTCCTTGCATTGAAGAAGCAGCATCTAAAAGATCTAAAAAGGTGTTTCTCTTTGCAGAGATATCCCTTAAGTTATCTAGATAATTTAATCCTGATGAATTGCAGACAACACACTTATATCTGACCAGCATTTATCTTACACAAATATAACAACAGCTTTGCAATGGACCTTAATTATACTACCCACTCCTTAACTTATTTAAAATAAAAAGTCTATAATTACACAATTTCCTTTAGAATTATTTTATTAAATCATAAATGTACAACAGCTTCTTAACTCTACACACGCACTTAAATTTTTTTAAAGGAAAAACGTTATGTCTTATTACACCATGATCCTGGCTAATAGCTTTTCAAAACTTTGAGAAAAATCTTAAAAAAGGTTTCACATGTCACCTGAAACTTACAAATTTAACATTATCAAAGAAGGAATGCTTCTACACTCTTACAAAGACCACTAGAAAGAAACAACAATTAAAAAGCTAAGAAACTGTCTCAAAGGCATTTTTTTTTTTTTTTTACAATCCTTCCTCCACAGTAAGGTAATGTTATTAAATAATCCAATCCATTCACAAAATGGCTCTCTGCATCTGCTCTGGTGTCTTCTGCCATATCACTGCATATTTATGCATGACTGAGATAAGAGTTTCCTTAACATTGTTATTTCGATAACCTGAAGCTGTTCTGTTACCTCTGGGCTCTCATCCTCTCCTATTTATACAGTGAAGCCTGTTTCAACAGAAGTAAAGAGTAAAAAAAAAATAGGTTATGAAATTATCCATCTAACCAGATTTTAAGGAAAGATAACATGATCCTAAAAAGCTTTTACTCCTGGCAGCTAGATCTCCCAAGACAATAATAATGTAAAACTCAAAAGCTACTTACCCATGGCAAATAGGAAGAAGCTCAATATCGGCTTCTCCCTCCATAACCCCCACTTCCTCCACTGCCTCCAGGACCATAGTTTCCTAGAATCATTGAAACAGCAAGAGAAAGCAAACTTACTTCCATTTTCCGTAATAAGCCTAATACTATCTATAGCTAATTTCTATTTTATAGACCTACACTCATTGAAACACACAGCTCATAACCTGTTATTTGCTTATAATTAACCTACTTGGGAGATCAATTATCCACACTCACAAAAAGTTTAATTTTGCCCTTTACACTTGAAAACATGTATTTACTGCTGCTATTCCTTTATAGGGTTGTCTACCACAATCATTGGAGTCAGTACAGAGTTAAAAAAACGTAAAGCAAACAGAAGAGGCATAAAAACATTGATTTAGTACTACTACAAACTTTCTCAAGACCTTAAACAAATAATACTTTTAGTAAATAATCCCAAGTTTTTATTCAATTAACTTTAAAAGAGATAATTCCTAGAACTTTATACACCTTGCAATGTGCTCAATCTTCTTTGGCTTTTTTTTTTAAGGAAATAATTAGCCAAGGAAAAAGATCCCCACCTGAAATGTCTTACTTTCCCAAGTCCTAAATATTTTATACCACTGAATATCCCCACCATTTCAATTAACACTGAATTACAATGGAAGTATTAAACTAGCAATCAGGAGATCTTCCATTCTTAAAGTCATGGAAGTATTCTTTAATCACAAAATTTAAACAATCTAATAAATTACCTCCACCATATGGTCCCCCCATGTTCCTGCTACCACCAAAGTTTCCACTCTTCATTGGACCATAGTTAGAGGGTTGCTGGTTATAATTTCCAAAATCATTGTAATTTCCACTTCCATAATTTCCTGTGAAAAAATTGAAATAGGTTTTGCACAATAACTTCCAAAATAACGTATTCAAGCATTAAACCAGTGAAACATGGTAAGCATATTTAGGACAAATCTCCCATAAAAACAATCATCAGAATAAATGCAAGACACCTATCTACAACTCTACAGTTTTTTTTAAGACAACTATTGACAACATTGAAATGCAAAATCTCGTGTTAAAAGTCATTAATTCCAATCCAAATTCCCACATAAAGGTTGCAGGTGAATTTATTACCTCCTCCATAGTTGTCATAACCACCTCCGTAGCCCCCACCCTGGTTGCCATATCCAGGTCCTCCACCACCATATCCTCCTCTTCCTCCTCCATAACCAGGGCTACCTCCAAAATTGCCACCTATTATAAAATAAGCCTTTAAGTAATTACTTAATATTTTCAATGGCATTTGAACTGTCTTATCACACCCATTTCCAGCTTTCCAAAACACATTCTTATTAACAAAATATTTATTCTATGAAATCTCTTCCTTAACAGCCTCAAGGGCAGAACAGAGTATGTATCCTTGGTAAACATTTAGGGGAGGGAGCACCTATTAAACTGGATAAAGACCTTTAGAGAGACAAATACTTGCAATGCCACAGCTCTCCCCTGACAGCAAAAATATTAAAGATTCTCTTGAAGATATCTTGAAACATTTATATTTTGCGTAAGGATTGTGGGGGCAGACGAGGCATAGGGTAGCAGAGCAAAAAAAAGCCACACACCCCTACTGGTCCAAAAGATTAAGTTGCAAACGTTATTTCCCCATAAATTCCCATGTCTCTTAAATAATATGCCCACTATACCCTTCTTCTGAGTAGAAATGGGGGGAGGACCAGAAATTAGCAAACTTGCATGTTAATTCAAAAACTTAAAATGGCAGTCTCTAATTATTGAAATACAAGACCTTGTTCTTTCTCATAATACCAAATTAGTATTTGGATTTCAAACAAAACTGAAATAGGATATAGGATTAACTTATAATCATACTTAAGGAGCGGCAAAACCAGTTTTTGTATTACTAGCTCAGTTTTTAGTATCCCATTCTTATTAGGACTTTCGTAAGTATTAACTTTTCTGTACTCCAAAAGAACACATCTAATACATCACTTCTTATGGAACAGTGGCTCACAACTTTAGCTGGTCCCAAGAATACAACTGTACAATTGTGTATTTTAGGAAGTTCTTTCAGTTACTTT